GTCCTAAAAATATTTCTGAAACCTGACGCCTAAATTATGTATGGAATAAATATTTCACCACACGAGTTTTCGTCCAATATGAACCAGCGATATCACGTTGATTGCGAATGACCACATTATCCATTGACCCCATTCTCGCCATGATTACGAATGATTTTAAAGTTAAAGTCAACAACGGTTTTTAGTAAACGGGAATGGTTTAAAATTAAGTGAAATTCTACGTCTCATGAAACTGAAATTTGCGTAATCAAATTTGCAACAGTTTCGTTAACGTAAACGTTTTTTATTGCTATAAACCTGAATCGCGATACTTAAATATTGTCGACAATGACTCCGTGACGCACACCGTGTTTCACTTACGTTTCAGTTGCTACTATAGCTTGTAAATCACATTTCATGACGTTTATATACATTACTGCCAGACATTCTATTTAAAGTTTATCGTTTCTGTTGCTTATGGAGTATTACAAAGTATGGAATTATACTTTTTAATGAATTTGATATAGGTTTGTGATATTATTTTTCTTTGGAATCATAAGAGTTGGTCAGTCACAAAAATAAATGAAGCCGACTGCTGATGAGTAATTGAATCAATTTATCAATATTTCGGTTTATAACGATTTTCCGTAAAACGTTACTTTTTTACGAGAAGCACAACCGGTATTAGCAAAACGATATTTTGCCGATTTTGCTTTATTTAAATCTTGACGTAAAAATATCTTTTGGCGATCATGCGCTGGTATCTTTCTACCCTTCTACTTCTAATGTTTCCGGCTACACCGATTACACTTGCGGCAATCAGATTCAGGATTGTTCAAGGCGAAGCCGTCCAACGAAATTAAAAACAATTATTACACTTTACGTAACAAGGGTGCAAAAATGCCAGCACTGCTTAGTAGTTTAGACTCAAACTTAACAATTTAAAATGAATAAAATAAGGACACTGAGATAAATCAGGAAGTGAAAACGAGCGGGTTGTATATTTATGAGACATGACTAAAACTGTATTACCCTGAAGCCGCCGGCGTCCCTGTAACTAAAACCATTCTTGTAACGTGAGATCTGCCTAAAGTTATACCGTATTTTACCGACCATAAGGCGCACCGTCAATAAAATGCTTAGAATAGGGTTTTTAGGGCTCTTCAGGCTATTAAGGCGCAACCGGTACTGGTCTGGTATTGAGTGTAGACAAACCGACACAATCGAATTTTTAGAAAAAAAAGAGCCTTATGGTCCGTAAAATATGGTACTTTATTGGAAGATTTGCATTTTCTTTTCCTACTGGATATCACTCATGTCTATACATCTAATTTAGCAATCCAACCTAAACCCTAAGCCTAAGACATAGGGTACAACTGTACTTGTGTAGGCGACATACGACGTAAAGCATTACGCTATAGTCCAGCGTTTCCCAACCTTTTTTGGTCGCGGACTATTTTCTCACCGGCGAAAACCTTTGCGAACTCAAGGTGCGTTTATTGCAACCGTACTCTGTGTAAAGCAGCAATAAAACCAAACACAACAGAAAGACCAAACACAACGAATTTAAAAATCGGAAAAATCGTTAAAAGAGCCGACATTTTTGGTGTATAATGGATTTTTCTGTCGCACAGTATTCATTCCATGACAACGACGATAATTTAAAATGTATTTGTATTTTAATTTAATTGTGTTCATCATCGTAACTCGCGATTGCGTCGACTTACGACAAGATGAAAGCATTACTTTTTTAATATTTCCCTGCCATCTGCGAACATAATAATGAAAGAATATATTGCCTGAATATATTCAGCTTTGATACATATTTTTTGCGATCTTGCGAATTCGTTATCTCTGTTAGAAAAAATCATACTATCTGCTATAAATTTCCAGAATGTACAACTTAATTTAGTATTTATTAAAAATATATTTGAAGTATATATATTAGTAAATCAAGAATACATATTCATCGCCTTGAAATTCTCGCGAACAACTTTTGAAGTAATCGTCGCGTATACGTCACTCGTTAAAAGAGCCGACCTTTCAATGCTTTTTTCTGTTGCATAAACTATTCAATCCATCCCCATGTGTGATTCCCTTAATCTGCGGTTGTGTTGACGAAATAAGAGCAATACTACTCAGAAAATATCATGACAATCCGTGGACACAAACATGCGTGGTAAAGTGCCCGATTATATCTTGTTTTGACTCGTATTTTTGTGAATTCGACAAATCTGTGTGAATTCGACATTACTACTGTGCGTACCAATCTGGAGGCAGTAAAGCAGAGAATCCTAAAGGAAAATGCCCTGGTACGTATACTACGGTAGCACCCGAAATTTTGCGATTTGCAATGTCTAAAAAGCGTTTTTAATCGGTCGCGGACCGCTTTTCAATTTAGAAAATTTGGGTTGTCATCATTTACACCTACCAGAAATTTTTTTTATTCCTCGTTGTTCAAACTCGCGAGGAACACCTATTACGTGTACAGACTCTTGTTTTCGTTAGAAATCCACAAGTGAGTTGTGAAATCCAATCGTTTGATTAAGCGACTCGCAAGTGACCTGTCGCGTCACATGTTACCAAATTTTCGATTAGTAAATATGCTATTCTAATAGTTGAATATTCGAATATATGCCCAGCCCTACTCAGTAACCAGTAATTATTGACGCGATTAATGTCATGTGAATAAACTGACTTTTCATGTTTTTTTTGTAAATTCAAACGCAAATCCTAACTTGGCTGATAATTAATTAAGTTTCGCAAAAACGTTTACGGCCCGCAGTGAATTTCTGACTCGTTGCGGACTCATTAAAACGCTCTGCGGACTCATTTGAGACCGCGGACTGGGGTTGGGAAAAACTGCGCTATACACTATAGTGGCACAACTAATCATTTTGCAGCATTATAGTATTAATGCATGTGATGTTTTTACATTAAATTTTAGTAATACGACAATGGACAAGAGAGCGATGCTTAAATAAATGGATACAAAAGCCAAAACAAAGTGATACGAGTATAAAATCTTTCACAGTAGCTTACTAGCACCGCTTGACCACCAAATAGCTAAGGCGAACACGGAACCGCCACAGAATGCGCAATTTTTAATTTCTACGACGTCAACGCACAAAATAAAGCGAAAACATTAGAGCTCACAGAAATTTTTGAAATCAATACATTTTAGCTTTCTATAGCAAAATACAATCTTTACCCATTGAAAATTTTAAAGCAATTGGTCTAGCTCAGATGTCGGCAACCTACGGCCCGCGGGCCGGATCCTACCCGCGGAGCACTGTAATCCGGCCCGCGACGCTTCACTAAATTATAGTAACAAAACAGCCGTTTTGACGAATACATTCTTTAGACTAAATTATATTATAACCTAACAATTATATATTTCACAATTACTCGTTTAATGAGCATATAATTTAATCATAATTGAGCTAATGGCAACAAAACGCAGAAAAGTTGATGCTAAGTGCAAAGGGTTCAATGGCTCTGAAAATATTCAAATGAAATTTCATGAGATGCAATGAGGAAATAAATCTATATTCTATTCGAGAGATGTAACACTGCATGAATTTTATTATAAAAAGTACCATCCGTTCGATTTTTCAACTTTCTGAAAATATGTGCGGCCCGCCAAAGACTTGAAATCTTAATTTTGGCCCGCGAGTGACAAAAGGTTGCCGACCCCTGACCTAGCTTGTGGGAACCGAAAAAAACGAATTTTTTTTCATAACAACAACAAAAAGAATTCGAACAACAACAACAACATAACCATTTGCCTAAAGTTTTATATATATCACAACCCAGAACATACCTTGAACCCCACTCCATATGCATACTCTAACCATTTGCCTAAAGTTTTATATATATCACAACCCAGAACACACCATGAACCCTCTCTTCATATGCTTACTTTAACCCTTTGCCTAAAGTTGTATTTATATCACAACCCAGAACATACCTTGAACCCCACTCCATATGCATACTCTAACCATTTGCCTAAAGTTCTATATCTATCCCAACCCAGAACATACGATAAATCCCACTTCAAATGATTACCTGACAAATTGCTCAACGTTTCATATGTATCTCGACCCAGAACAAATACACAAATCACATTTTTTATACGTTTTATTGCAGTATTCTCCGTATAAACAATATTTCTATGTACTTTTTAGTATCGAATACACAAATAATGATAGAAATAAATGTCGTTCATTTGTCTTATAAAATATCATAGGGTTTTGAATAGGGTTTGTATTATACTAACCACACAATTGAAAATGTTAGCATTAAACATCGCAACAAAGCTATACTAAAGCAACTAATGTCCATACTAAATATTATTGCATGTAAGAGACACATATATGGCTGAGTATGAGCAAAGAACGTAGGTGTTGTCATGAAAAACAAAGACAATTGATCCTATAAGTAAACAGATCAAATGTGTTAATTAGTAAATCAAATCCTATATATTTGCCACGAAAATCCACCAGACCCAAATCATGGAATCTGAATATTCTATTGGACATAAACACTGTAAATATAAAATAATCAGCTTGGTATCATAGACAAAAACGCAAGATTTTAAAAACCGTTTTCCCTTTTAATTTCACGAAATAGTAAAGACTGAGTAGTCTGGACTTCACTGTGGGAACAATGATATAAATATTGGAAGACACAATAAAATTGACGTCATAATAAAGGTGATGTCACATATCAATGAAAATGACATCATATTAAAGGTGAGGTCACATAACACTAAAAATGACGTCATAATAAAGGTGAGGTCACATAACAATAAATTGACGTCATAATATAAAAACGAGAGCATATTACAAGTGAAATAAAAAGCATATCTTTATATGAGCCTTTAGGGATACATGATACTGTTTATATTTTCCTGAGGGAGTATTTCATGCGTTCTCTCCCAATAGGAATATAGAAGAACAAGCACCAAAGTTAAATTTCAACCTCATTTTCACCTGCTTAGGTTTTTTTTGTCAATAATACCAAGTCTATAAGCATAATATTAATGATGGATTTTCGTGGGAAACCCAAAGTCCGTCACCAGTCTTCGTCTACTTTCCTTCACATGTATTAGAGCAGAACTTGCTAAGGACTTTATCTATCAATTCTTTTGTAAGACCCTCCATATCACTGATTATTATCTTATTGTCATCAGTTCCAGCGATTATGTCAACTGTTTCACCAACTTTCGGGCCAATCGCAAGTGCGAAAGTCTGAAAATTTAAAAAAAAATCAATCACAAAACATCTTTAAAAAAAAATTATGAGTGGGGTTACTAAGAACTACTAAAGCTATATGAATGACGTCAATGCTTTTTTTTCGGTATGGAATTTGCCACTCCAGAAGTGTGTGTACCAATATGGAGATAACTAATTTTGTTCGCTCACTTCACATCAGTGACCCAGGTATTATTGCCCATTGAAATAAAAAGCACCCTCACTCAGACGTACTTATCTCTGGGCAAAGTTTTCCTATCTTATATTTCTATTATTTTTTGTTACATCAATTTCCAGTGGTTTCAGATATTTTCATATCAGTTGTAAAGAAACTTAAAAGAATGGTAATTACATCAACTCCTCCATCTCTAATGGCTTTTATCTCCGCCGGAAGATCCTTAACGTCAGTGGCTGCTCCATCAGTCACCACTAGAATTGCGTCTGAAACACCTTCTCTTCCGCTTGGCAAAACCTCCTTGCGGACGTATTTAATAGCCGCTGCAGTGGCTGTTTCTGAAAAAGAAGTTTTTACCATTATTGAAACGAAGTGGACATATGAGTCGATTTGTTATGTTTAATTGTTGATGGCAGTTCTATTTAAATTAAGATTCTTGCTGCACACTAACACAAATGTATTTCCGGAACGTATCATCTGATCGTGGTCAGACTTCTTCAGACAAGCATTTTACAACTGTGGAAGAAACGCAATTGCATACACATAAATAATGGTATCAAATGTTGGGTCTGTTTTCGATAAAGAGAAATAACTAATATTGGGACAGTGCCAGAACAATACAAAAGCAACACAAAAATTTGGATCATAATCATTGAATATTTTCCGCTGCCAGAGTTTTTCTTGTTGTTGTGGTTGGTATTGTGAGAAAATCACTTTTGTCATTACCTACTGGGTAAATTGCTTTGAATATTTCAGTGATTAAAGATTGCTTTTGTGGATAAAAGCCTATTACTTTGATTTATTTAAAAGTTGTTGTGGGATCTTTATCCCATTTCAAGTCATCAAAATTAAAAAATGCGCACCGTGTGACGGTTTTGCAATAATTATACCCATTATAAGTATTTGTAAAAGTCAAAATATAAAAAAAATAGAGGTGGATTTTACTGTAGAAACTTGTAAAGGCAGGAATAGAGGTTAAAAAAACTCTGGCAAAAGAAAACACTACAACTAGGGCTGAGCATTTCTTAATACTAATGTTTTCAGAATCGAATCGAATCTCGAATACTTGGAAGATGTCTAATTGTACTTGTCCACACACTCAGTGTCCACACATAATAATAACCATGCCTCATCAATGACTTGCTGGTAAGATAATAGTCAGCTTCACAAAAAGATTGTTGAATTCACTTTAATTCAAGATGGCGGCGATTCAAAATTATTGTCTAAACCGATTCTAATAATTTTGAATTTGATTCGATTCTAATATTCGAGTCTACAGCCACTAAGCCCTCCACAGCAAAAGCTTGATATACTCACTTCCGCCAGGTCCATCGAAACCTAGGATAGCTTTCTTAATCCCTGCTTTGTTTCCAATATATTTATCGAGTAAAATTGTGTCTTCTTTTACAACCACAGTGTTGAATCTTACAACACCAAAATGGAATCCATCTCCCTTGAAGCCACTTCAAAACAAAAATAGCAATTTAGCAGTGTTCCCCAGGCCCATTTTCATGAATATAAATTTTTTTTAAAAATATCGTTGCAAACAACGAATCGTCGGCTAAAATAAATATGTAATTCTCCACATTTAAATATAATGTGCATAGCGATCCACATGTATGTCATACTAATCCTTCCAAATGAGCATTCGTGAGTATTAATACTTATGCCCTTTGGTACACTAGATTTTTTTTTGTAAATAACTGTTTAATTATTCATAATTCCATAGTGAGCTTCCGGACCGGTAACCAAGTCTATTATCTGTAACTGGCCCATTCCAAAAAAAAATTGCCCACATCTGCGCTATAGAAAATAATAATAAATAGGACACATATGTACACTATTGCTCAAAAGCTCTTATCAAATAGTATAGGTAAACTCACTCAATCAAATCGACAAGGAAGTTCTTCATTTTCGAATAATAGTCGGGACCGTTTTTTCCGAGTGGGTTAATTGATCCCGAAGAATCCATGACGATTACGAGATCCATTTTGGCATCTTTGTCACACGTCACTGAAAACATTAAATTTATTTTTTTATTAATGCCATGACGACAACAAATGGCTGTAGCGAATTGGTGAAATATTGTTGGTTAGTGTGTGCAATTTGACTACAATAGAATAGTTTGAAGTTTTATTTCATTGCATTGGATGATATATTTTCTGAAGTTCAGCACGGAACGCTATTTTGCAAAATGCTTTGTATTTCATATGAGAAAAAAGTTTTGAGATAGAAGTTTTTTGCAATATTTAAGGACTGATAAAGAATAGAAACAGGTTAGGTTGATAAAATGCTACAAATTTAAACTTGGATTTTATAACCGCGTCGTTCTCAATTTGGCGTTCAAACACCGCCACTCCAAGCGAAGCAAAAGCGAAGTAGCCATTTTAGAATGTCCAAAATATTCACCATAGCATATTGCCTTAAACGGGGATGGCTACAATATGGTGGCAGAAAATGTGTTCTCGGCGACATGTTGGTCTAAGAATTATCGACAGTAAAGTACTATATCAGTAATTAAAGACAGTGACTAATATATTTTCAGATCTTATATTTTTTTTATTTTGGATTCATTTAGATTTGTTAGATTTTTTAAGGTCAGCCTTCATTCAATTTCACGATAAATGAATATTTATTATAAAACATGAACGAAGTTCAAAACTACGCCGTTCAAACTCAAACTATAGTTGGGAGAAAAGTTTCGCTAATTTCGTTACTTATTACTAAATCTAACTTTTAATGATAAACGGTACCTTTTCCGCAGCACGGTAATTGGTTTGTCCAATGTAACTCTGTCTTTAAACCGACTTCAGTACTGACTACACTAGCGTTGCACATTGTGTAATTTTTCCATCCTGGAATCATAACGTAGCCATCGTCGCATTTAAAATCGCATCTGGTTCCTTCAACGAATTTTGTCTTTGGTTTGCAAGTCATCTTTCCGTTCTCAAATTCATTCCATTTCTCGCATTCTTTTGGTTCTGTAGGAAACGAACAGTTTAGTGTTAACTTAGTGGTCTCCTACCCCCCCCCCCCCCCCCCCCCCCCCCCCCCCCCCCCACTAAAATTTCAAACACCCACCTCCTCGCTAAGTTGGACGTGTGTCCTTACACAAATTTTCTTTCTTGCTAATTTTGACATGTGTCCCTACACCAAATATCAACCACCCCTCGAAACTGGACAGATGAACTGAGCTTTCTTCTAATTTTTACGCTTTTTATATCTTCAGTTCTAAACAAGGTTCTCTTCAAGCAGCCACTGATTTAGGTCAATGACCCGGGACTTCCTAACACAAGTATTATCAAATTTTTACACGCGCATAAAATACGGTAAAAATTGTTCACTTACCTTCACAAGTTGGGGGCTTAGCACTCCATGTTCCATCAGCCTTACATATCGCATTTTTCTGTCCTTTCATATTAAAACCATCGTCGCATTCGAAGTCGCAAACGGCTCCTTCAATTAATGATTTGTCCGGTTTGTCGCATTTGACTGTACCGTGGTCTATTGTTTCAGGTTTTTCGCAAGTTTCTGTTCAGTAAACAAAAGTGATTAATATGTATGAATATTTATTTGTAAATATTGTTCAATATGTTAGTATAGAATTTTTGAACAATGACACAAAAGACAATTCATTGGATTCATTGGGAGGTAGTTTCGAAATTTATAATTGCCAAGTCAGACCGTAGCAGCTGGAGAGTCTTCAAGGGTCTTGGTGGTCTAAAAAGCGTTTTGAGCTACAGAAAAATTCTATGTATGATAAAGACTTTTTGTTCACATTCCAAAACAAGGTACCCCCGTAGTATCTGTACCGGTTAAGGTTGAGCCATAAATATATTCCGATTTTCCTTATTTTAGTTCTATTACGAGTTTGGGAACTGTCTGTGCTAGCCGAGTGAATACACCTCCTGTCCGGTCGCTTCACCCAGCTTGATGTAAAGCAGGCGATTAAAATTAGTTACCTCCATATTGGTACACACATGAAGTACCATTTGTTACAACGATAATCTTACTTACTTTTGCACGTTGGTGCCTTGTGGCTCCATTCTACGACACCTCTGGCTGTTTCTTCACAGACTGTATTCTCTGAGCCAATTAGCTTATGTCCACTCTTACATTTGTATTGACAGATTGTTCCGGCGGTTGCAACGACGTTATCGCAATCAACAAATCCATCTTCTGGTTTCGGTGGGGGGTGTGGCGTGCATTTTGCTGTTGTATAAATATTGCGAGATTTAAAATTGTGAAATTTAAGACAAAATGGCGAATGTTGAAATTTCAAAATAAATTTATTCCAGAATAGTACATGAAAATGAGTAAGCTGGTATCGAGTCGTAATTTGGAGCAATATTAACCCAAGTATTTCAAAAAATTGTTACAGAAAATAAAAACAAAATTTCTCAAAACAACTTTTTTCGAATTTCTTCATTTTGGGTTTTAAGTCTCGATATAAAGCTTACACGAAACTCATCTCATATTCATTATTCGCTTTTTGTTTTCTATTAGACGTGTGTCTTTGATATGCCGATTTGGTGAGTTAGCGGTCTATATGTAGTGGATTTATGAAAACGTATAAAAAATATCTCACGTATGCATTTTGGTTCTTTTTCACTCCACGTTCCAGCTTTTTCGCAAATCGTCTTTGGTTTTCCAACCATTTCGTATCCTTCTTCACATTTAAACTCGCATTTTGATCCCACGATTAATTTATCGTCACATTTGATGGTACCATAGGTTGGAGGATCTGGCTTTTTGCATTTTTCTGTTATATAAGATTTTAAGTCAGCATTTCTTGTAGTTAAATTGTACTCGACCTAATTAAATTTCAGAACTTTATCGAGACATTTAAATAAATGTTTCAACAGAAACTCGGCTACCGATTCAAGTTGGAAAGAAAATTTTTGATTTTTTTCATTTTTTTTTATTGTCATCGAAAGTTTGAAATTCAGACTCAGTCTAGGAGTAACACCAAATTTTGGACTCCGACCTTCACCTCCGGAGTTTAAAAACACGAACTCCGAACTCGAACTTCGGATGTAGTGAAAATACACCAAACTACAGATCCGACTTAGTATCCCCGGTTTTGACTCCTATAGTGTCGAATCGATTTGTACCTAAGACTGGGCATTTTGAATTGAATCGAATTGTAAATTTGAATTTCGAAATTAATTTCGAATCTCCGCCATCTTGTTTGTTGTATGGCGGATTTTATATTTTCATTAATTTATTTATCTGGAGGATCCATTGCATTAAAAAGCCACATTTAATTATGTATCTTCCAAGTATTCGAGCTTTGATTATATTTCAAAAAAAGAAGAAGTTTTTATTCTGAAATCATCAGATGTTCTAAAATGCCAAGCCATACTTGTAACTCGAATTTTTTAAATTATTTGAATTTTACTCTAGACTTAAATCTGCTGTGACTCGCTCGACTGTGACTCGCTTCGACCCTGGGCTTTAAGGCATGTGCCGTATATAATAATAAGGATTTTTTGTACAAAGCCACCACCACCAATTCAAAATGTAAAATTTGAGAAAAGCACCCCCGCCATGTTTTTAAAACAACAGGGTCAAAGTAGGGGTTACGAATGATTTAAAAAAAAAAATGAACCTTTAATGTAATCTGCATTTCTAACCCTAACTTAATTATTACTAATTTGCTATTTTTAATTGTTGATGGGTTATTTATTTAGCGGGGTCTCGGTACAAAGGATACAATATTAATTATTCTATGAAATTCACGAGTCTTGTTGCACAACTAACACAAATATTCAAGCTTGCTATGGCCAAGTTAAGACTTCCTAATATATACATCAAAGTTAGTATGTAGCAAGACTTTAAATCAGGGGTGTGCAACCTTCAATTAAAGAAGGCCAGATTTTAAATAACTGGGTGGAACCGCTGGCCGTACCTTTATCGAACATAGGTTTTATAGTAGCTGTAGGCACAAAAAAGTTGTAACGTCATAGACATAAATATTAATTGCACTTAGGCAGGGGCTTTGCAACGCAAAAGAATTAAAAATATATACACGTACTAGATTAAACTAAATTAAAGACTCGCTTTGCGGGCCGCACACAATTCAAAATTCGCACTTCTCCGCGGGCCACCCATTTTATTTGTGGCCCGCATTTGGCCCCCGGGCCGCAGGTTGCAAACCCCTGCTCTAAATCACTTAGGGTAGGCATTTTCACCCTTGCTACAGCATCATTGTATTACACGCATATGAATCCACTGATACAAAAGCATAGAAGGAAAAGAAGTAGTCGGTAGTTTAGGACCCAATCGATATTGATAAATGTAATCTTTTTTCACTTACTGGTACATATTGGTGCCTTATGGCTCCATTCAGCTTTTTCATTGGAAATTTTCTTGCAGATTGTTTTCTCTGATCCCTGGAGCGAGTATCCAACCTTACAAGCGAAATCACAACGAGTTCCGACTATTGCCTTTTCGTTGTTGCATTCAACTTCGCCATTGATTGGTCCTGGTGGTGGGTGTGGCTTGCAAAGAGCTGCGAAAAAAAATTTGATGAGGATTTAAAACCTCACTATTTGATTCGTATACTACTTTAGAGCTTTTAGGTCTGTATCAAAAACCTAATTATATATAGGCGCAGCAAATTAAATGGCGCCCCAGAAGTATGTGTACCAATATGGAGGTAGCTAATTTTGTTTGTCTACTTAACATAAAGTTGTGTAAAGAGACTGAGGCCAATAAGCAGGGCGTATTTTCAATTGGCTAACACAGACAGTTCCCAAATTCGTAATAGAATTAAAGTAGAGAAATCGGAAACAAATTATGGCCTTATTGAATACCGCAGTAGATACTGCAATGTTAGGAATGCAGCTGAAATCTATTCAATCCGTTTTAATATTCCAGTACTGTTGTTTTAAACCTTTTTGGTGAAACAGAACCTTGATGTGATATTTCAGAGAATCAAGAAACCCCTGCGCAAATTTTTTATGTATATTTGATCTATATAAAATATTTCAATCAAAAAAATGCAAAACTACAATATGACGTAGCACGCTTGAGGGTCTTTTACGTAACACCTGTGAAATTCACTTATTATTTGACTATTTACACCCGTGTATTTGATTATAATGTCGTTGTTCAAAATGTCGCAGAACCGGGATCTATAGCGTCGATTTGTGAAGAGTGTCACGTCTGATCAGCAATGACAATCCCGTTTCGGAGAGAAATCTGATTATATTTAAACTATTATACATATAATAATAATATATACTTTCGGATATGATTGTAAACTTGTGGAAACGCCTTGCGTTGAAGTTAGAGTTGGGATTAAAAATGATTCAAATATAGAAATTTTCAGCGCAATTTGCATTCTTAACCCGAACTCTTACTGAATATTTACTAATTTTCCTAATTGGAGCATTGGCGGAGAATTTGTACAAAAGATCCCACATCAATAAAGTAAAATACCTATAAGGTCTCACATAGGGTAAATACTTCACTTACGTTCGCATTTTGGTGCCTTTTCTGACCATGTTCCGTCCCTTTCGCACTCGGTTTCTGTTTTCCCAACTACTTGATATCCTTCGTTGCATTTGAATGTGCAAGATGAACCGACGATTAGTTTGTTGTCCAAGTTACTGCATTTTACGGTACCGTAGTTTGGCGGAGGAGGCTTTTTGCATTTTTCTGTAGAAAGAAATAATACGGTGTTTGGATTGAATACGTTGTATTAGTGTGAGTCGACTTGTTTTGAAGAGAAAAATATATTTAAAATGGATATAAGTATTTTGTTCGATTCCGTTGTCTATTGGTATTAGATTCAGTCGCTCGTTCAGTCGTGATACGCGCATGTAACAAAATGATTCATTGTATAAATATAAAATCAAAAATAATTCTGATTGCGTATTAAAAAGATAAATACAACCGTACAATACGAGGAAAGGCATAGCGTTCTATTTTGAACATGTTACGTTGATCAATGAATACAAGGTGTCGATAAAGTCCTGTTACAAATTCAATTTTGTTATAAAGTCAGTTCTCAATATATCTTAACCAGGTGTGTTTTTTAATCAGTAATTGTTTGAGTATTTTCCCTTCATTTAATACATCTGTGAGAGCCAAAACAATATATGATATCGATAAATTTCCTTTGCAATTTTAATTTTTTAGACTTCATTGACTCCCTATATTAGGATGACTACAACCGTACAATACACAAAAAGGGCATGGCGTTCTAAGACAATATTTGCAACACAACGTTTTCAACATTGTGGTTTCCTATTATTTGTGTTTGATTTCAATATTAATTTTTATTGAAAATTTTGAAGCTTTTCCTAAGAAAAAGGATATTTAAAGGCTCTGATTTTTGGCTGATTGCTGTTACGATGTTGGCTTCAATTTAAAGTTTCTATTGTTAGAAGGACTGTTTTGTTGTGATTCCACATTGTCCGTCTAGGTTAAATAAGGCGGTGGGCAATGAGTTTTAACTCGATTATAAATAGGTCTATTCTTTAATGGTCGACCATGCTACAAAGCAAAATTAGTATGCTTTTGGATCTCCAGAAGTATGTGCACCAAGAAGGCGCACAACCTGAACATAGTATGTTTACCAGGTTAGGGTTCAGGCTGTGCGCCATCTTGGTGCAGATACTTCTGAAGCGTACTTTTTTTTAAAAGACATAGTTATTTACGTTTAGTCAGTTGCCACCTTCCCAGTTGTTCGTAAAATATCACCAAACAGTTGCAAAAACGTGGAAAAATTGTGAAACGTTTAGCAAGGTATATTAGAGCGCGGTATTTTCACTATTGGGAATAAATTAACAGGTTGACTTACTGACACATTTCTTGGCTTCTTGGCTCCATCTTGCACCTCCCTTTCCATCTTCTTCACAGACTGCGTCCTCGGGTCCTTCGAGCTGAGAGTCTGGTTTGCAAACGAAGTCACATTTCGTTCCAATGTCTGCGGTATCGCTATCGCAATTTACAGAACCTCCAGTCGGCGGTGGGGGTGGGTTAGGATCACATTTGGCTGTGAAAATAAATAATTCATATAAATATAAGTTTGATAAATCTTGACTGTCCCATTCAGAGGCGTAGCCAGGAGATTTTGGGGGTCGGAACCCCCACTCTTTCGAACTGTAAAAAAAAGGATTTTTCTTGTCATGCATAGCAATTTTTAAACGCTTTTTAGACCAGTTTTGAAAATTCACGTTTCTAGCGAACTAACTCGGAAATTAGAAACTTCAGACTTTCTGACTTCCCTTTCTGTCGGGAGGGCCCAAAGAATATTTGACTCAACTAGAATGCAATTCGATTCACCATTTATCAAAATCTTGAAGTCACACAAGTCATCTAAATTATATAACTGTAGCTCATCATCAACTCAAGTCAGTGGTTGATTAGATTAAACCTCAGGGATTAGAGAGTCTTTCCCAACATTAGTTTATTCTATAATTCCTCACGTTTCCCATGCTAGGGGCTTCATTCATTTCATTGAATAATTTTTGAGTACTGGTTGAAACCCTGCCCTCTCCCCAATTCCGTGTTATTATTTCCATTTACTCATTATTATTCTATGCGCGAAGATTGCAAGATTATTTTGGACCACAATCTATCTTATTCCAAATTGCCATAATCTTCTCAATTATTTCCAAATAATGTAAAAAAAATATAACTTTGAATGATTGTGTATAATTGTACCCAAAAGTTTCAGTAATCTATGACGCTTTCCACGAAAGCTATGTTGTCTCTGAAATATGTTCCAAACGACCTGGTAATTGGTAGACCCTGCATTTCAATATTCAATGAACAATCTTATACTCACGTGGTGGCGGTGGCGTAGTTGGTGGATCTGTTAATTAAAAAAATTAATTAATTAATTAAAAATTCCAATAAATCTGAAATCTTTGTGTAACGTTGGTAAAGCAAATCTAACGCTTTATGTCAGGGGTGTGCGTCCTTTAATACAGGAGAGCCAGGTAGAAATAACTGGGTGAAACCGCAATATATCTGTTGGCATTATAAATTCGTATACATACTAGGTATAGGCTTCGCAACGCAAAGCGATTAGAATTACCCGCACATATCAGATTAAATTAAAAACTAATTTCGCTGCACTTCATTCAAAACTAGCATTTCTCCGCGGGCCGCACAATTTTTCCTCGAGGGACGCATTTGGCCCGCGGGCCACAAGTTGCACACCCCTGCTCTATGTGATACAGAAACAATAAAAATAGCAGGTTTTAATTAAAGAGGTTTTGAAATGTAATTTAATATGTACTAACTGAGAATTGCCCACTATTGGATGTTCTATAGTCTTTTGAATTTTAGTTTTATATTGCTATAAGTTATAGTGTAATTTTGAACATTTTCACCTTATATAATAGGGACGCGTTCAAATGCTGACTCGCTATGACCTATAGCAGTGATCAAACGTAATACAGATGCAACTTTGACTTTCTAAATATTCTCACATGAGCTATTTTGATATTTCTGTGACGAAGTCCACAGTCCCCCGGTTGGGAGCTGCTGCTTCCCAAAATAAAGATATCAAAATCTACTCACAATGAGGACATGAGAATTTACAGATTTTCCCAACGATTCGGCCTCTCAATTCCTCTTTGAGCGATTCCATTCCTTTGACTTCGATGACGTTATCAGGGTTGCCAGTTATTTCTTCTAGTTGTTTAATGGATAACGGTTCTCCAGGCTGTTTGATTCCAAGTGCGATGATCTTGAAAATGAAGGAGGGAATAATAATTTATCTATTTGCAATTACTGTCGATGTACCTACTGAACAAAAAAATTTATGCCCAAAGTTTTTTTTCGAAGAACTTCAATTGTGTGGAAATCCCTATACATCATGGGTGTTTTTCTGACCATTTGACAAGAGCTGCTTGATGTATCTTATTATTGAATTTATCGATATTGATCATAGCGCAGCTTTACGCCACAGTTCTCGAAAGTTACTCTTATAACTTTAGTGGTCGTCGATAAGTAGATCAGAAATCAAGCTTTTGTATGTCTGATTGATTGAGTGCTCGGGACCTTGCTTTTAGGCGGTTTTTTATTGAAAAAATAGTGGTTTTCCTCTCTCACCTAACTGTATTAGACATGGCAGTTTGAAAATATCGTTATCTAATCTGTCACATTCATGGAATTTCGTTTCAAATTATTCAAGCCCTCAAAAACGACATTGTTCGCGGTGGCCTAGCAGTTTTAAAGTCTGATCATGTTGGCATCGTCATTGGAATTTCTCATGCATAAAACTTTTTTTAAGTGGAAAGCGTGAAAACATAGCATAAAAGCATAAAAAGTTATAAACATCTTTCAATACCTCAACTTTTTGTTTTCTGAGTAATCTTGCCGCTTTCTTGACTGAATCTGTCGCGTCTCCATCCGTTATTACCCAGACCATGTCGGGCACTTTGTCTCTGTTGTGGTGTCTCAGCATTGCCGTCCTTGTGTAGGTGAGAGCAGCTCCAAGAGCAGTTTCTGTGAGGTTGAATAATAGCTTGGGTATTTGTTTTCAACAACCGTTTCACGTCTTCACTAAAAGCAAAGCTTAACTACACGTGGCCTTGTGGTTCAACATTTGGGCTTTTCTGATTGGCACCGTAGGTCAAAAATTTCCAATTCAGATTCCATGCCCAGCTTATCGCACAGGGTCTATTTAACCGAGTTGGTCCCTATAATTATTTGATGAGCATCTCTTATGAAGATATTAAGCGGAAATGTGGCTTAAATAAATACTTTTTAATAGAAATGTATTGTAGAGCATAATTCTAAAACAGTCTACTCAAAAATTAATGTGAAATATAAAATTGCAGCTTGCACACCCCTGTTCAAGTAATAGATACGAACTTACTTCCTCCTGGACCTGGAAGTAGCTCGACCTTTTCCACCATGTCAGATATGCCATACTCTCCAAACAGTATTTTGTTTCTGGTGTCCACATTTGTTGCAAATCGGACAGCTGAGAATTGAACCTTGTCGTCTTCAAAAGATCTGGAAATTTTAAATTAATTTTATTACATATTTCTAGAGTGCCAGTGGTTCTCAACATTTATTCTTCTGTGGCCCACTTCTGTGGCACAAAAACATATCTGTGGCACACTACTTTTCTCATGCGGGGGAAAAACTACAAGAAAAACAAAAAAATTCTATTTTTCAAAGATAGACACTTCAACGTTTATAATTAAAAAAAGAATTACCAGGGCTTCTTTATTTTAAAATAAAATTTTGTCTTGCGCAAATACAATACCCCAAACGGCAAGGGACATACCTGCTTTGTTGAAAATTGAGTAGACTTTGATATGAACTAAACGCGTGTTTTGAGAATTATTTCTTACCGATAGGTCTGGCCGCTAGTCCAGAGTAGAGATAAGATCGTGCCCAAAAATTCCAGCCCAACCCGACCCAGGCCCTTGGGTATTAAACCCGACTCGACCCGAGCCCGACTAATAAACTAACTTTGCAGGCCCGAGACCGAAGCAAACCTGAAATTTCACAATTTTTTTAGGAGTTCTTTGAATTGTCATTGCAAAAGTTTGGTACAATATATGTCGTGTTGATGAGGCAACTTCTATTTTTTTCAGACCACGGTCTCTTGTGGCCGAAACGCCTCATTTAAAATAAAAGAAAGCGCCGTGTAGGAAAAATGATCACACCAAACTCACCCAATAACGTTTGCTATGAAGTGCTTCATTTTTCCGTAGTCGGTTCTCGTGATTGAACCAGAAGAATCGACAACAATCACAATATCAGCGGCTTTGTCGCACTCTGAGAATTATGAACAAATATATTTATACAGAGGGCAGTCGGATAGGTGCTCCCGAAGTATGCGAACCAAGATGGCGGACATCGGAACGTAGAATGGGTAACAGGTTAGGGTCAGGCCATAATTTTTTTCCAATTTTCCTTATTTTAGTCCTATTATCAGTTCGAAGACTAGCTAAGAGCCTCCCGTAGTATTTATACCTAAAGTTATGGCCTAACCCTAACCTAGTACACATATTACATTCCGATGTCCGCCATCTTGGTTCGCATACTTCGGGAGCCCCGTCGTATATAGTGTATTGAACTGAGCGCCTTCCGCATTATCTATCGTATTTCACGGGACATAAGGCTGCTGGGCTACGAAAACATTTTCAGATGGGCCACAAACATATCAAAATTTACGAGAGTTGTTGATAAATTAGTTAAACTTCGATTGTAGTAGCAATGAATGATAATGCTGTACTAAGCTACTAAATGGTAATGCTTGTATTAATTATGTTTTGTTATGTTTTCTTTTTTCCCTTGATTAGAAAGTTAATAGGCCTCAGAGTTTTTGTGCAACGGAAGTGCGCCACAAGAGAAAAAAGGTTGAGAACCGCCGGTCTAGACAATAAAGCACTATCCGACCATACTGATTGATTTTTGAGAAAGTGCGCCCAATGGTGTATAAAATACGGTACATTCTATGTCGGACGCGTTATTACCGAGATAGTATTAAAGCAAAAAATATGAACAACATATTCAGGAATAGGGCTACACACCTCAGGTAGAAAATTAAACTTACTTTGACAGCATGGAAATTTCTTGTCCCATTCTCCAGTTGGCAAGCATGTAACAATCGAATTCATAGGACGCACAAGCTCGTATTTATCATCCGTGCATCTTAATTCACACGAGGACCCGACAGCGCCATCGTAAGAAGTGCAAGTCACCTCACCATGAGGTAAAACAGTCATTGGCTCGAAGCATTCCTTCCCTAAAAAATCGAATTTAAAGATATGTTGATGTGCTATTTTTCTCAACAAATGAAGTTGTCAGATTTGTTTCCGGATGAAAATCCGTGTTCTCATGAAAAATAATAAAATATTGCAAAGATTTGGATAATATATTAGAACTCATAAGCTTCATAGAAAATTTAGGAACAAATTCCAATACAAGCGCACTAACGAAAAATACAATTGATAGTCAAAAGAGGGTTAAACTGAAACTAGTAATTAGTTTCCAAGTTCAAACCGTGACAGCTAGCGAATCCGACCGAAAGTCGGGAAATGTGGGTTTTCAGAAATATTGAGAGTCTGAAAGCGTTTCGGGCTACGGAAATTGCTATATATATGGCTACACATCAAACTCAAATTCATTCAAATTACTAAAGGGTTATTACAAACCGAAAAAACAAAACTCGAAAAAGTTGCTTGGAAAAAATTAGAGAAACTTGTTTTTTCATTAACACCTGAAAACTTTTATTTAAATACTTCAAACTGTTCGCATCAGCTTCCTCCGTAATATTTTCAAAATAATTTTTTTTTCAAAATTATAACATAAATGATGTACAACTGGTAAGAAAAAAGGGTGAAAGATTAAAATCAGGTCAAATCAGGTTTATCAGAAACGAAGTTAAAATTATCTGATAACGGAATTTAGAAGCAAATATTTACCCTCTCAACTAATGAAATAAAACTATTAAAAACTGTTGAATCGAGGTTATCGTTTCATTCGGGGCAAATAGTGAAAACATTGTGTAAAAGTCAGTGTCAAACAAAATATAGAAAGACAGCAAAAAACTAACCTGCAACAGTTAACGCCAGACCGAGTAAAAGAAGAATTCTCATCGTTGACTTTAGTCGAAAGATGACTTCAACTTTTCAGAATCCAAGACAAAACGTGATTTTCCACGTTCTTGCAAAATATTCATTCTATTCGGTATATATAGACTTAAATCAGCGTTTAAAGCGCTACACTTTTCCTTTATTAGCGTGTTATTCACAAACATTTGCGCATCAGGAACTTTATAGCGTGGGATAGCAACGCTTTGGTGTACGATTACGCTCTATTAGTTCTTGGAATTCAATTGAAAAATCATTCCGATTCCCGATATAGTGTGAGTATAGCATATAGGTTTTTATTACAATACGGATTTCATTTCATAAAGCGCCTTTTGCTCTAAAAATGTCACAATCATCCTCTGGTATATAATAATATGCAAGTATACATAGTATATAAGAATCCATAAATCCATTTATCTTTCTATATTGGTTACTTTCCGTTGCGTAGTATCTGCTTTTATTTTCACGTATTGTTACAATCATAAGTGATTATTTTAGTATTTCAAAGAAAAATCAAGCAAGGAAGAGTTGACCTTTTGCCTTTATTTCTTTGGTCTATATATTTAAAAACTTCCGGTGCAATTATTTTAATTTACATGACATTCGATATATTTCTCTTATTTACATGACATTCTATACAATTATTAATCACACGCCATTTGTGTATACAGTGTATATAATTGGGAAACTTCGGCCAATGAAACAGTGTCATGTTAGGGGCGTAAATAGGCGGCAGACGTGAATAGACTTCGTAATTGAAAGTATCAAAAATAAACTAACAATAATAAATCAAAGTCGAACTTCACGAACGCGATTCCCAACAATTCTCGGCAAACTAATGCCAGACAATAAACATCCATATAACGCGTTGTTAATTAAAACTTGTAAATATAGCAAATAAAGCAACTCGTTGGAAATTGTTCGCGTCAATACTCCGTCAAATGTGGCAACGCCTGTTTAGAAAAAGAATCTCCGATAACAGCGTTGCTCTAATGCTTTAAAGTAGCTGAAGTATCTTTTTTCGCATTTTAATGTTTAACGACCTCGATTCCCCTTTAACGACCTCGATTCACCCTTTTAAAACGGGTGGGCCCAAAGTAGGTTTGCATTTAATATTATGAACAAATAATGAGGTAAATCTGAACCAACATTTATCCCGCTCTGTATACCAGCCTTTCATATTTGTACCAGGAGAGGAAAGCCTACGGAACGACTTGGTCATACGCAGAAACATGATCTTTTATGTGACTCTTTATGTATCCAGTGGTCTTATGAAAAAAGCGTTATGCAAAACTGTGATCGCCCGTTAAAATCGCAGTTTCAAATCTTATGCCATAGTGTAATGAATAAAGTATGAAATGCTGAACCGAATGCCGAAAGGGATATTATATACGAAGCCCCCGACAACTCATTCAAAAATGCCAAATTCAAGAAACCCCGCCCGCCACGTTTTGAAATAAATACTTTGTAATTGTCTAGTCAGTATTAGGGGAAAAATGATTTGAAAATTTGAATTTTCAGCTCAATCTGACTTTACTAACACAAACTGACTAATTTTGTCATTTTGAGCGTTGGGAGTTTTTCACGGCGCGGGCTTTGTACAAAAGATCCGCCGATTGTCTTTCAAGAAAAGATTCGACTATTTAGATATCAGCGAGATACCTCGTTCAGAGCAAAAGACGCATGCCTTTACGACAGGGGTGGCAACCTTTTGCCGCTCGCAAGCTAAAATTAAGGGTTGCAAATCATTGGCAGACGGCACATATTTTTAAAAAGTTGAAAATCAAACAGATGATACTTGATATTGGTGATATTGTATAATAAAAATCAAGCAGTGATCTATAGTGAGAGTCTATATTTTATCTCTCGAATAAAATATAGATTTATTTTCCTCATTGCATTGCATCTGAAAAAAGTCATTTTAATATTTTCGGTGCCATTATACCCTTTGCATTTAGCATCAACTTTTTTACGTTTGGTTGCCATTTGTCTAATTATAATTAAATTATTGGTTCATTGAACGAGAAATTGTGAATTTTATACTTGTTGGATTAAAATATAATTTAGTCTTACATTAAATTCTGTTACTTAAAGAATATAATCGACAAAACAGATGTTTTGTTACTATAATTCACTAAAGCATCGCGGGCCGAATCCGGCCCGCGGGCCGTGGGTTGTCGGCCCCTGCTCTACGGCCTATGAATTTTTTTTTTCATCAACGCGATTCCTAAGAATTTCAGCAAAATGATGCCAAACAATAAACATCCATCCATATCCGTTGTTAATCAAAGCTCAGAAGAAATAAAGCAACTCGTCGGAAATTGTTCGCGTCAATACACAATACAACTACGGCAACGCTAGTTTAGGAAAAGAATCTCCAATAACATCGTGTTGCTTGAAAGTAGCTGAAGAATTTTTTTGCATTTTATCGTTTAACGACCTCAAATCCCATTTTCAAAAACAGCATACAATTAATATACAGCAGGGTGGGCCCAAAGTAAGTTTACAGTTAATAATAAAGACAGGGTAATTCTGACCAAACTTTTGGCCATATAAACAATTTCAGGCGTCTAGCCGCCCTCCCCCCAAAAAAAACAAAAATTAGGAGGATGGAAGAGTCTATCGCTCAGCCATATAGTGATAAAAGCATCGGCAAAACAGCGAAAGGTATAACACAGCGACAAGAAAAAGAAAGACATCATGTATTTTTACCCATGTGAGTGTTTTTTCTAAACATAAACTGCCGGACTAGAATTTTATGCTTGATGGGGAAAATATGAGTGTTGAAAAGGGTCACACTGAATGACTTGTGCGGCCGGATTGTGGCCCGCTAGCCCTTGTTACACACCCCTCTGGTAGGGGTTAAAGCGTTAAAAACTCAACTATGATGGCATTGCACGCTCAAATGCCGAACCAAATGCTGAATGAAAACTTTTGTACAAATCCCCCGCAACTAATGCAAAAATGCTGGTATTAAGAAAACATGCCGCCACGTTTTGATAAAAAGTTTAGTAAATACTCAGTTCGTGTTAGAGCGAGGAAAGATTTGAAAATTTTAAGTTTCAGCACAATATGCATTACTGCCCTAACCTTAACTGCGTAATTAGTATTTTTTTTAATTTATGCGTCGGCAGGTGTTTTTTTATAGCTTTGTAAGAAAGATCTGGCGAATGTCTTCCAAGAAAATATTCGACTCTGTAGATTTGTAGTGCTTGTTTGTACAGTTCCTCGTTCAGAGAGAAAGACGTATGCCTCTACGACTTATAGAAAAAAATCTGATCAACGCGATTCCTAAGAATCTTAGCAAACTGATGCCAAACAATAAACATCTATATAACGCGTTGTTAATTAAAACTCTGAAATAAAGCAACTCGTCGGAAATCGTTCGCGTCAATACACAATACAAATATGACAACGCTCGTTTAGGAAAAGAATCTCCAATAACAGCGCGTTGCTTTAATGATTTAAAGTAGTTTTTTTAATGCAATTTAATGTTTAACAACCTCGATTCCCCTTTTTAAAAACGGGTGGGCCAAAAGTAGGTTCACAGTTGATAATAAAGACGAATAATAGAGTAACTCTGACTTAACCTCTAGCCCTCTTTGTATACCAGGCGGTAATTTAACATTTATATTTGTACCAGGAGAGAAAGCCGATAAAGCGACTTGATCATACGGCGAACCATGGCCCTTCGCGTAACTCTTTGTGAGCGCAATAGCATAATGCAACGTTTCCCAGCCAGAGGACGAATTTTGTCTTTCTTGAAATGAATTCTGCTTAGTATTTGCTGTAGTACAACTACTAATATTCTTGTATCATTACTATGATGATAATCTATGCACATATGAACTACTTAAACTGTACAAAAGCGTGACTAGCGCATAATACTAACTAAGAATCCATTAAAGATTGAAAAATAAAACTGTTTTTATGTATAGTGAGGGAGGATTAATGCGCTCCAAAGTAGGGGTAGGGAGGAATCTGGCGAAAATGGTTGGCAACAACTGGTCTAGTGGTTAAAGCATGGGGATTAACTGTGATGGTATTCCAGGTTTAAATCCAATGTTCTTCAACTCATTCATAAGGTAGAATATGGCGAATAGAATATTTTGTACAAAAAAATTGGACGTTCCAGATATCAGTAGTTGGTTTTACAGAGCCTCGTTCAGAGCGAAATACTTATGCCTCTACAACCTATAGAAAAAAAATATTCAACGCGATTTCTAATAATCTTAGCAAACCGATGCCAAACAATAAACATGCATATAACGCGTTGTTAAATAAAACTCTGAAATAATTCAACCCGTCGGAAATTGTTAGCGGCAATACTCAATACAGATATGGCAATGCTCGATTAGGAAAAGAATCTCCAATAACAGCGTGTTGCTTTGATGTTTTAAAGTCGCTTAAATATATTTTTTTTCATTATGGAACGACCTCGATTCCTCTTATCAGAAATCAGCGTCGGTTAACGCAGACAAGTATTAGAGTAACTGTAACCCGACTGCTGGCGCAATCTTCGCGTAAGCGCTGGTCGGTTACGGCTTCCTCCACCACCAAGTCTATGCATCTAAAACAAATAACTGGCTAACTAACCCCATACCCGACATGGACTGGTAACCGGACGAGTCGCTATGGTTAGTCATATGATTAAATCTCTAATCGGATTTTCTCTCTCTTGGAATAAAAATGTAACTCTTATTCCATTTGTATACCAATCCGTAACTTTAATATTGATGAGTATTTTCCCCACAGAACCCGGGGCATTTAACCTGCGACGCGACACATACACTTCTATGTATAGAATGTAAATATTACTTATCCCATTCTCCATTCGCATTCATAGGACGCACAAGTGTGTATTCATCATTCGTGCATCTGAACTCACAGAGTAGAACTCTTCCAAAATTTTATATGATAATCGGTGCAATTCTTCCAAAATTTGATATGACATTCGGTGCAATTCTTCCAAAATTTGATATGACATTCGGTGCAATTCTTTCAAAATTTGACATGACATTCGGTGCAATTCTTTCAAAATTTTATATGACATTCGGTGCAATTCTTCTGAAATAT